TTTCATCCAAGTAATGCTCATTCTCTGTTAACTAAATTCAAGTTGTTGAACTCAGATTAAGGAATGCTGTTTCTGAAGGCAGAACCAATAATTGGACTACTTGCAGGAGAATGGCAATGAAATCCTGATTTGTATGATTTTAGGGCCAATATGAGGCCATACCTATAGAATTTACAGAACTGACAGCTAGCCGTGGAGGGAAATGTGTGAAATAGAAACAGCAGAACAAAGTTAATTAGGTAGAAGGGAAGTGCCCCTGTAGGAATTTGGTCATGAAACTGGGGTTAATGCCTTATTTTAACAAGGAATCCAAGGTGGTCTTTATCAGGGGTGGATTAATGCATGAGCCCAGGGGCCCAGGCCCAGAGGCCTCTGCCAATCAGGAGCTTTCTGGGGTGCCAGGAGCAGCATGGCCCATGCGGGCATCCTGGCTGTGGGCACTGGGGGCAGGCAGCATGCTCCTCCTCCCCTTCAGCCAGGCTAGGTGCAGGTGCAGACACAGGGCTCCCTGCAGGCTGCAGCAGCTTCCTGGGGCCATTTGGTGCCAGGAGGCCTCATGGATGGCCTTGCTCCTGCTCTCTGCTGTTTGCTGTCTGGTGTCTGCAGGTGGCCGCTGGGATGGGATGGGACAGTCCTGCCCTGCCCAGGCCAGCAGAGAGATGGGCAGAAGGGCAGGTGGCAAGCTGGGGGCAAAGCTTGTGCCTCCCCCCAAGCCGGCCCCAGCTCTGACTCGTCCTGCAGCTATGGGGGACCGCAGCTCCAGCTGCATGACACGCACTGGGCAGAGGGGCCAGGGCCAGGACTGCTTTCACTTCAGCAACACTCATGCCCCCAAGCTCACTCTGGACACACTGAGGAGGCCAGGCAGGCCTAGCTGCAGCTCCCTGGCAGGCAAAGAGGGAACCTGGCCTCCCTTGGTGGGGGGCCTCCAATTGTCTGTTTGCCCAGTGCCCCAATAAATGTTAATCTGTCAATGGTCCTTATCCACTAGTGATCAGGATTTTAGCTTTACATCATATGAGAAATTATACTTCCAGCAGATGGGGTCCTTTAGGATTGTTCTGTGTGAATTTAAATGTGTAGAAACTTCCCAGTCAGCTGCTGACCCATGCTTTCCCTTGGCTTTAATAGCTGATCTGACTACAACACTTACATGACTGCAGGCAAAAGAGTGATGACAGTAGTGTTGCACTGCCATAATGTGCCACCATGCTTATGTCAGGGCCAGCTTATGTCACTGTTAGCTGCTCATTTTCAGAAGTCCAAACAAGTTGCTATGAGAAGCTTGTTTCAATTAAAATCCCAAATTATGTATGGTTTTAAGGTTTGACTAAATTCCCAGCATTCCATTGGGAAAATCATTATATGTTTAAAACTCATTGCAAGATGAAAGCATTTGAGCCAATATTAATCTTGTCAGTATTAATACATATGGCAGCAAATTCATTTTGTTACTGAAAATTCAGTTCAGTAAAAGCCATTACTTCCTATTTTTCCCTGTTGTATTTATGTTGGCTTTAGCTGGATAGCTATGTCATAAGGTTCACTGAACTGTCGCTGTTGTTATTTTAGCTTGTTGTTAGGTGAAAGCAGAGGGCAGCAACTTATAGCGAGCCTGTGAAGCCATTTGATGTGGCCTGTGGATGTGGGGCTTCAGCAGCTGCATTGACCCAGTTCAAATCAGATGAAGGCAGAGACGCAGTGGGAAGGTGGGTGCTAGGACACAGGTGCCACCACCACCACTTTTCCCAGTGGCTGCACAATAGCAGAATGCAGCACCACTGCTTTTCCCTGTGGTGGGATAGGAAGAAGTGTCTGCAGCCAGCACTTTTCCCCCACAGCAGCGGTGGAGCCTCATCAGCAGTTGCTTTCCCATGCTGCTGTGGGGAAAAACAGCAGTGCTGAACGCTTTCCCTTTGCAGCCACGGGGGAAAGTGGTGGCAGTGGCTGGGTCTTACCTTTGTGCTCCAGACTGCCTCTGACCTGAAGCAGGTCAATCTAGCCCACAGCCTGGAAAGGTTGCTGACCCCTGGATAAAAGAAGTTTCAACTAATATATATGCATTAAAGATAAATAAATCTGTATTCTCATTTTTTTTCCATTTTGGGTCCTTCTAGTAGGTTCATTATATTCTCAGCTCAGTAATATTCTGTCCTAGATTTGGTTCTGAATTATCATTATTTTTTTCTTCTGTATTTTACAAACAGAAATCTGTTTGCCACAAGGGCAAATTTGTGTGCAATCTGTATGGTCATAATTAAGTGGGCACAGGCCCAAATCCTACTTAGCTAGGTACCAATATTATCTGTCAGAAAGAAAATTAATTCATTTATATTAGTCCCAAACTGGCATTCAATATCTGTACAACCAATCTTGCAAATCACTTCATGAAATGTATTATTTCAGATGGCGGAGCCCCTATGCTTTATTGCTGGTTCATTCATAATTAAACCAAAATATAAAATAACATTTCATCACTGACCGCAACTTATTGAACTAAATATTAGGAATAACTGCTTCATTGTATTCATGTGAAAAGGAAGTATAAAAACAGTCTACCACACTGAACAAAATTCACTGGTCTTTGAGAGATCTACAGGGACAGAACCAGGGTACTACAAATCTGTTAGGATACATTTGCTGTTATATTAGCCTTTCTATTTCAACCTTTCTATCCACACCTCCCATGGAAGGATTTTTTCTAGGGAATTTGTACAAAATGGTTGCCCAGTAGCCCCTCCTCTTATGCATCCACAGTGAACTGCTCTGTACTGTCCTGTTCAGCTTTGAGGCTGTCCTGAATGGCAGCTCTTCCTCCTCAGCTACATTTGACTGAAGTTAAGATTTAAAAGATGCAGAGAGCTTCACTGGGGCCCTCCACACCTGGAAAATTTATCTATAAGTATGGATAAATATAATTGTCTCGTTTATAAACATGAATGACCATAAACATAAAGGCAAGCATAAATTCTCCAGAAAAACATAATACCTTTCCAAAATATGCTATATGGAGCTCTCTTTTTAGATGCAATTGGATATGCTAGCATATTTCAAGAGCATTTCCATTTCAGAAAAGTGACAAGATAAAGTGGTTTATGAAAAAAAGTCATATTTAAGAATACATGCACTTATTAATAGAGATTAATGCAGATTATGTAGCAGAAAGGGAGGAGCATTATTTCTATTAGTATAATATTTCTAATACGGCGTACAATGTATATATGAAAGGCTATGGTAATTTTATAAAATATTAAATTGTATGGAATCCCAAAGGGTGTCATAAATACAGGCTTTTTTCCTCCAGTGAACCTGACTACTAATGTTCTTTTTTAATCTTGCCACTTAATTAGCAATGATATTTAATTGCTCAGCAACTGAAAGGCGTTGTGTCATGAGCAATTGGATAACTTCTGCATTATGTCATTGCAAAATTCAATTTTCCTGCACCAAGTAGCTCATTTTTATTCTCTATTTTTTAAAAGAGCTACCATAATCTCTCTTAATATCTTGCTCAGAATGAACAGATCTTTTCTGTCACCAAAATGTGCCTCTTACTTAAATATAGTGATTATGGGCAGAGCTAGCAGTGACACTTTTGACTGCAGAATACTTTTTGTTATAAGACCCTGTTTTCCATTGCTTAATACGTTGCCAAGGTTTAATAATTCCATTTGAAAATGTTTGTGCTGGGTGCCTGTCTCAAGCTGAAATAATTTTGGAAGGTTTCAGTTAATGGCTACTGCCAATCCATATTCCATTACCTTAACTGGTGGAGGTCTGTGCTTTGTCTCTAAAGGTTTAACTTTGCCAGTGAGCCATATTGTGGCAGTTCAGTTGCCCTGCATATATTTAGACCCTAGGGGAGCTGCCAGATTCAGGTGGCTTTTGTGAGGAAGGAGGATTCAAAATCTACCCTTAAAATAGGACAGTGAAGTTAGAGGAAGTGACCAGGCTACTGCCCCATGGGCTGTCACTACTCAAGATGCAGAACTGCCCAGTTATGCCTCTGCTGCTTTACACGAGAATCCCATGAGAATCCTTCTCAAAGTTTCCTCGTGCAGCTTTCTAATTAGAGTACATAATAGACAAGTACCCCTGTTCAGGAAGATGGCTTTTGAAGTGATCTGGATTATTGGCTTATGGTTTTATCATATCTTTTCAAAGTATTTTTTAACTTTTGAAACTGATCATGTGCGATTCCAGTGAGGGAACAGAGGATTTGCACAGTGTAGGGATAAATAAAATGCTTTAGTCTTTGCCTTTTTTAAAATCAGACATTTTAGCAAATTCATTAACAACCCTCAAATGCTTTCATAGATTTTATAGATTTCATAGACATTAGGGCTGGAAGGGACCTCGGAAGATCATCGAGTCCAGCCCCCTGCCCAAAGGGCAGGAAGTCAGCTGGGGTCATAGGATCCCAGCAAGATAAGCATCCAGTTTGCTCTTGAAGGTGTTCAATGTAGGCGCTTGAACCACCTCCGGTGGCAGGCTGTTCCAGACCTTGGGAGCTTGGACAGTAAAGAAATTCTTCCTTATGTCCAGCCTGAAACAGTCTTGTAGTAGTTTATGACCGTTCGACTTAGTCATCATCCCTTGGGGCGCTCTGGTGAACAAACGTTCCCCCAGATACTGGTGGTCACCCTTGATAAACTTGTAGGTGGCCATCAGATCACCCCTGGGCCTGCACTTTTTCAGGCTAAAGAGCCCCAGGGCTCTCAGCCTGTCATCGTAGGGTCTGCTTCCCTGACCTCTGATCATGCGTGTGGCTCTTCTCTGGACTCTCTCAAGCTTCTCCACATCCTTTTTGAATTGTGGAGCCCAAAACTGGACGCAGTACTCCAGCTGCGGCCTCACCAAGGCCGAGTACAAGGGGAGAATGACGTCCCGGGATTTGCTTGAGAAGCATCTATGGATGCAAGCCAGCGTTTTGGTTGCTTTACTAGCCGCAGCATCGCATTGCAGGCTCATGTTCATCTTGTGGTCAATGGTGACCCCCAAGTCTCTTTCTTCCATAGTGCTAGCCAACATAGCACTGCCGAGCCTATAAGGATGCTGCGGGTTTTTCTTCCCAAGGTGGAGAACCTTGCATTTATCGGCGTTGAACACCATCAGATTCTCGTCCGCCCACTTGCTGAGCCTGTCCAGGTCAGCCTGGATCAGCTTTGAGCAGGGGTTGAACTAGATGACTTTCTTAAGCCCATTCCAACTCTGCTTTTCTGTGATACTATAATAGGAGGTAGGTTACTCTAGATACATTAGCTAGAAAAGTATAAAATGTAACTTAGTCAAATCCTTTACATCCTAGTAAGACGTAAATTAGTAAGCATTACAAAAATAGAATGAAATGTACATTCTTCTCCAACTCTAGATATTCTCTATTTTTTATTTCATTTGTTTAGGCTACACCAAAGTTAATATAAATAATAATAGATGGTGATGAACATTTAGAAGATGCATGTTTAGGAGAGGAAGTGACGGCTTAATAACTCAAAATTAAAGTAGCACATGCTGTTCATGTGTTCAGTCTCCAGTGGTTTGTTTCCAGCTGGACTCAAAGAAGTGTCAACTGAATGCATTACAAAGAGGAAGAAAGTACTGTCCTATAGAAACACATACTTTTTGCCATCTTTTTTATTTCTTTGAAACACTGCAATTGTTCTCTGCAGGCCTCCTTAATAGAAGAAACTGAACCAGCCAACCAAAAATGTGAAACTGATTCTGGAAGGCCAGAAATCATGAATCTAGAGAATACTTCACCAGGTTTGTTGCTGCAAAACTGCTTTTGTATGGTGACATTTCTTTCAGTTCCATTGTGTTGTGCATTTCTGTTACCAAAGTGGTCAAGATAAGTGTCTTCACAGTGACATCTAGAGGTATCGTGAGAAAATGCAAAGATTATATTTGGTTTAGATTATATTGTTTTCAAATTTGCCTGATGCCTTTTATATCTGTAACTTATTTATATGAATGATCAGCATGGACGTGCAGTATCTAAAACCATGGAAAACTAAAATTAGTAGTAATGCAATAACGATTCCAGTTTAAAAAAAATATATGTATGTTCAAGTCATTGAAAAATTAAAAAGGGAATATTTAGAAACTTTTGAAGCCAGTTTTGTCAGGGGTGTATAAACAGAAGTATATAGAATCAATAGTGTTCCATGGACTACTGACCTTACTTTATGACCTGACATACTTTTTCCTGATAAGGAATCATAAAATGCTTGTAAAATTGATTTTATTTCAGTGTAGGTTAAAATTAATTTAAAAGTTACAATGCTATTTTCCCTCAGTCTGTTTTCTTAAAAAAAAAGAAAAAAGACATTTGAGCATCTTCTGTTTACTGCTACTTCATAATAAAATGATGTTCCAAATTTTAAAATGTGCCTATCAATTTATCTCTGTACATATAGATAAAAACATATGAGATGCTTGTCAGCAATTAGAGTATAAATATATGACTCCCATACTTCAGGCAAAAAGAAAGCCTTATTCTTTAAACATATTTTTAGAGATGGATTTTTAAAAATGAAATATTTATTTTAAAACTGGCTTATTAACTTCTATTTTTAACTTGAATTTAACACCTGTTATATGAACCATACAAATTGCCTCCTTGAAAGAG